ATCTCTCTGGCCCTGACTCTACCGAACATTCAACAGAACGTGGCCACCATCCTGATAAGGGAGCTGAGGTGCCCCAAGTCCCTCACAAGTCCGCGTGCCCTTGTTGTCGCTGCCTGCTACCCCTCCGGTCCGCATCCGTTTCCAGCACCTGACATCCTCAGCTGTGACCCCAGTGGTAACCTTGCCCAGTGTGTGAGGATCTGGGAGTCCTTATGGTGCAGAATGGAAGGTCATTTGTGGAGCCTTTGATTTTTTTTCTTTCTTTTTGGATGAGGGTCTCAAGGTCCCATGTGCCCAGTAACAGCCAAGCAAATGGCCAAAGACGCTGACAAGTCCGACAGGCCGGGCAGAAGCTTTGGGCTTGTCTCGGGCTACCTCTGCCGCCTCCCGTGTCTCTGGCCTGATCACTTAGCCTCTCTGAGCCTCAGTTTTCGGTCACAGATGTTGGGGTGGTGGTATGATCAGACCTGTTCTGGAGGTGTTGGGTACAGTTGTGGCTGTAAATGTGAAATGATCATATTCTGTAATTTGTCATCTTTCTCTTGGGTTCTGGCATGTGCTGAGAGCTCAGTAAATTGACCAGAGAGAGGAACAGACAGCCAGAAGCACACCCAGGGCCCAGCCCCCTTGGGGAAGGCACCCAGGTATATGCGCATGCTGACGCATACTTGGCATTGACCACAGGTCTGCTGAAATGAATTACAGTGACTTACCTGGGGTGAGAACCTGAGAACGCTTGCAACCAGTCCAGGAACACTGCCGTCTCTTCGTGTGTCCACATTTCTAGAAGGAAGAGCACCGAGAATCTCTGTACTGGGACCTGGCCTTGGGCACAGCGCGCAGGAGAGCCAGACAGGGAAAAAGGGACTCTTATTTAGGTCCGGCCCCCATGAAGCAAGCCATCTCTTCACACTTGGGGCTAAACATTGAAATACATAATAACCGAGCCCTGCGGATAAGGTGTCCTAACCGTCTTAATGCAGCTTGTCTGGCTTTCCAAATTTCCAAAGTATAAATGTTACAAATTTAGCAAAAACGCCATTTGAAAGTTGACTTAAACTTCTTTCACATTTATTTAGTTTTGTGAAGTTTGAAAGTAATTTTTTGTCTTGGGCAGTGATTGCTGTCTTCAGTTAGAGGGCCGGAATTTTCAGAAGGCCTCTTTTTGTAAGTTCGTGGCACTTAACTGCTGCTGAGATTGTTAAGCGCAGGCAGACTTGGGACACCCTGGCTGCTATGCTGGTAGGACGGTTTGGAAATTGCTGTTCTTGGCAGCCCCCCCCCCCAACCCCGTACAGACCCACCCAAGTGTTTACGGCACACAGGAAAGGTGATCAGATGTGAAGCATCATCAAGGTGATCCTTGGCTAGCGCCGGGGTGTCCTCAGGGCTCTACGTAAGGGAGGGGTAAGCTCCTTACAAACCTTATCTCATTAACAAGCGGGTGACCGCACGGGCCCCATTGCAGATCCAGTGTAAAAATGCAGCAATGGTTCTAGAAATCCTGAGGCGCTGAGAGACTGGGTTCTATTCTGCTCTTTTTTAAAACAATAACAAATTTTAAAATGTGGACCTTTGCCACCAAAGACCAAATGAAAACGGTTGACGGGGTAATTTTCCAACGGATACGTGAGCAAATTCTAATCCTCTCCTGAATTGATGTTTACACCGTGTGTGGCTAATCCCCAGAGGGAGGACACGTTTTGCACAGATATTCCTGGCGTCTTTTTGGTCAACATCACTGGCTTCTTTCAGTGGATACCTTTTGTTTCCAGCTGTCCTTCCCAGGCCTTTAATTCCTGACCTTCAGACTGAGTCTCCCAGTTGGATCTCAAAGCTCGTTGAAACCTTCTCTCGTCCCCTCTTCCCCCCGGATCGAGAAACAGAACAGACCTCTTCGCTCAGTCAGAAAGGTCTAGGCCACAGGTTTAGTTTGAGGTGGTATTTTTCATAGTTGGATCTCATAATGAAAGTATTTTTAAAATTTTGGGCAGATAATTTGGTTTAACAGAGCTGCTTGTTCGTTGCGGGTACAATGGCCGCCCGTTTCTTGGTGACTAACTAAGGATTCACTCTTGTTCTTACACAAAGGTGTCCCCGCAGACTGTTGAGTAATCTGTTGGTTCTGGTTCTAGCCTTTGTTCTCCCTTGGGAGGCAGGGCGGCCCATCACTTGTCCGGCATTGTTTGAGCAGAGCCATCTGCTGCGTGCAGAATGCCGGGCTTGGAGGGAGCTGGCTCGTGGTTCACGTGACGTCAGCTCCCCAGGACTGGTGACTGGTTGACGGATGAGAAGATGGTCATGGTCGCTGCACGTCCCAGAACCACCACCACGTTTCCTCTGGACTCAGTGCTAGGCTGTGGCTGACCACGTGCCCTCCCTTGCCAAGCTACACTGATGGCAAGCTGAGGAGGGGGACGCGGAGTGGGGACCTGTGTGTGTATGTAGCATATCAGGCAAGGCTGATGTCTGACGGTGCCCACGGGGCAAGAGGCTTCCACGAGAGACGGCTGGGCCTTCGTAAACCCCGGGTGCAGCCAGGATGTACATTTCCATTCAAGGCCGGATGGAATGGAATTACCCTGCACCTTCCTTATGTGTGACCTCTCTGGCAGAGAGTCTCTCCCCAGAACATGGGAGTGGAGGGGAGAGAGTGATTATGTGCATGGGAATTCTCTGGGAATGCAAACTGCTCATCTGTGCTTAAGGATTTCTGTATGAGTCAAAGCGCACTGGTTTACTTGACCCTTACCTTCGCCTTTATAAGGAGGAGGAAAGTGCTGGGTCAAATAGTTGTCAGTATTTTTGCCATGCAACTTACTTATAACCTAAAATGACAACACTCTAAAACTCTAGTGGTTAAAAAATTATGTAGCCGTGGAAAGTTACTGTGACTCCTGTAACACTTTCAGATGAATTTGTGTTTTGTCAAGCACAATAGCCTCTCCATGAAATCTATAAATGGTAATTATGTATTTGCACAGACATACTAAATCTTGGGGGCAGCGCTTGGGACACGTGGGTGTGTGAACACCCTCCGTTAATTCAGTGCCTAGCAGCTGGGACCCCTTGACCTATAAGAAGGTTCTATACGAACATATTCCATAAGAAGGTTGCCCTTCTTCTTCTCTTCCTCCTCCCCCTCCTCCCCCTCCCCCTCCCCCTTCTGCCCCTCCCCCTCCCCTCCTCCCCTCCTCCTCTCTCCTCTCCCTCCCTCACATCCCTCCTCCTCCCCTCCCCTCCCTTTATCCTCCCCTCCCCTCCTCCTCATCCTCCAAAAATAAGTTAAATTAAAATAAAAAAAATAGTAAAAAAATCGTTTCAGTTCGTGAAATGGTAATGAATGTCATAAAATAAATAAAAAATAAAAATCATTAATGAAATGATAAAAAATGATAAAATAAACAGTAAAATTAAATAAAAAATGATAAAATAATTAAAAAACGTCATCCATCTAAGGTTTTTTTTATCATTAAAATCAATAAATAAAAATGCGTCACGCATCGCATCTCTGCATGCATCGTAAATATAAATAAAAATCTTTCGTCGTCATCGTGCATCAATAAAAAAAATAATAAAAAATGATAAAAAAATCGCATCATCGCATCATCATCGTCATCATAAATAGTGAAGTACATTGAAAAATGCATCATAAAAATAAATGAAAAAGTATATAAAAAATCTCATCATCAAACAAATGCTGCATCTCATCATAATAAAGTAAAAATAAAAAGTAAAAGCATCAAAAAAATAAATTAAAATAAAAAAAAATAAAAAATAAAATAAAATAAAAAGCCAAAAAATAAAAAAATCGTCATCACGCATCATTAAAAATACTCGCATCGTCATCCATCGTAAAAATAAAATAAAGTAATCGTTTTGATAAAGTAAATAAAATAAAATAAAATAAAAATACCACCTCCTCCCTCCTCCCTCCTCCTCCTCCTTCTCCTCCTCCTCCTCCTCCTCCTCCTCCTCTTTTCCCTTCTCCTTTTTCTTCTTTTTAATCTTTACTTCTTTATTTTTGAGAGAGACAGCACAAATGAGAGGGGGGGCAGAGAGAGAGAAGGAAACACAGAATCCGAAGGAGGCTCCAGGCTCTGAGCTGTCAGTGCAGAGCCCAGTGCAGGGCTCAAACCCATGAACTGTGACATCATGACAGGAGTCAAAGTCGGATGCTTAACCAACTGAGGCACCCAGGCGCCCCTGTGGTTCCACTTGTTTATTGATCCAACAAGAAGTCACGTGAAAGAGCCCCCTCCCTCCCCTACTCCCTGTCCACTAAGACTGAGGGGCACATCCTCATACTTTAACATCTGGATACATAGTAATGCTTATATGAATGTTTCCTGTGCTCTCAGAAATTTTTAGACCCCTTCTCCATTTTCTAAACCTTCCTGAATTCCCTCCTATGTTTTTGTTGTGTTTGGTGATCTGGAATAATTTCCAGTTCATGCCTAACAGCACAGGGATGGAGGGCAAGCCAGCTTAACATTATTAGGAACGGTAAGACATTTTAAGATGTTTTGCTTAATGCCCCCAAAACTCTTCCTCCCTGGAGCCAGCCTTCCAAATTTAAATCCTCATCCGTTACTGTGTGACCTTAGGCAAGTTACTTCATCTCTCTGTGTTTCCATACCCGGTGTAAACTGTACACAATAATAGGCCTTCCCTCCTGGGGTTGCTATGAGGAGTAAATAAATTACTATGTGTACAGCTCTCAGAACCGGCCTGGCACACAGTGAGGTAACTGGGCTTAACAGATCACTGTTAATTACGACTTGACTTAGAGTTGTATGTGGATTGCTCATCAACGTAGATTCTGTTCTTTGTAGCTATTTTCACGTGAAACTATGGTTGAAAAGTGAGCGGTAGGATTGTTTATTGGGAATAAATGCTTCAGATTACAATGATAATTATTTTTCCTTTCTTTTCATGTTCTCTTCGGACAGGGTTCTAAACCTAACTTGGATCGAGAATACTTAACCATTTAGCTAAAAATGGTATTTTTTACATGCAATGCATGTGGCGAATCTGTGAAGAAAGTGCAAGTGGAAAAGCACGTGGCTGTTTGCCGAAACTGTGAGTGCCTGTCTTGTATTGACTGCGGTAAAGATTTCTGGTAAGTTCTACCTAATTCATGTAGATCGTAGTAAAGACCCAGACCAGTCTGGGAAGCCCTGGGCCCCATGAGGCCTTAAAAAAAAAAAAATGGAGGCACATTTGAGCAAAGAAATTAAGAAAACAATTAAAAGTGCTCTGCAGCCTATTTGCTCTCCAAGGACAACCCGAAGAGAAGACAGAGGGAGGGGTGAGGGTGTGGGGAGCATGTGGTCCGTCGGTGGCACTCAGCGTTACCAGACCCTGAGAGGTGACCACCCAGAGTAAGGCTACAGGGGCAAGGTGGGCTGGCCACATCGAAAGGCTGGATTAATGAACCAGAAACTGGTGGGGGGGCAGGGAGGAGAGACGGGGTCCCCCCGCACAAGCTCGCAGGTGATGGTAGGAATGAGCCCCTGGCCCCCGGGTGCGTCTGGTACTTCCGCTGAGGGCTCTCTGGACAGGGGAGGACTTCGGGGGTGGGGGAAGGCCAGATTTTCACTTGCTTCTCTCCTCTTTGGGGTGGGTCATGGGTCATTGTTTGTAGGTGGCTCCCCTCAGTCCTCGGTTGCCTCCCCTCCGCTTCCCAGGGTTTAGGTGCAAAGGTGGCTTTTGGTGCCTCTGCCTCAGTGTCCTGTGTGGTATTTGGATTGATATTTACTAACAGTCCATTTTAATTTCATTCTCGAGCAGTGATTTTTTTCACAAAAATTTTTTTTTTGAAAACTGCTAAAGTCTTTGTTCCTACCTAATCCTAGGGGGAAGCCTGACCTATAACACAGGGGAAAATCGTTTTTTTCTCATTGAGAGACTTTGCCCCCAGACTGGTCCCAAACATTTCCCCGAGGGTCCCGTGGGGCTTCCAAGTGATTGTAAGAGACAGAATCAGGTTTCTTTGTGTTCTGAGACTTGGCCGTCTAGAACTTTTTAGTGACAAGATAGCACCATTTTACTTCAGGTTTTAACTTCTTGTACAACTAATTACTGATTGCCTACTGTATAACCAGGAAATCATACAGACTTTGTTATTTAAAATAAAGCCACTCTGTTGCAGAGAATTATTTTCATTTCTTGTATTCTGCATATATTCACTTATGAGAAGAAAAAGAAGTACTGCCTGTCAATTTGGTTTAAGATGTTTGTATCTAAAACTGGGTGGAAGGTTTGGCTGTGGGCTCTACATGGAACAGTTCGGAAGACAGACAGTGCGCCTGCCCTGCCTGCCCTGCCCGGAGGTTATAAACAGTAAAACCACATGGAGGGCAGAGGGTAGGAGCAGCATGCGAGCAGGAGCCTCCGCTTGGAGAGTCGGTCTGACTGTGGAACTTTGTATCGCTTTGAAGGGGTGACGACTACAAAAACCACGTGAAGTGCATCAGTGAAGAACAGAAGTATGGTGGCAAAGGTTATGAAGGTAAAACCCACAAAGGCGATATTAAGCAGCAGGCATGGATCCAGGTAAGGTCTTTCTAGTTCATCAGGTAGCTGCTTCTGACCTCTTCCACTTTCTTTGGAAGCCTGAGAATAAATCCACCCTATGTGCAGACAAGATGCACAGACATTGCGTCTTAGGACAGACGGAGGCGGAGCTACTGGGCCTTGACAAAGAGTTCTTTATCTCTCTGTGAATAGAGCTGCAGTGCGTTTGGTCTTTAATGTGTACATTCCGCAGATTTCTTGCAAAAATGTTTTAGAATGCTCACTTGCCCTTGGCTACGAAACGGAACAGAAGCTTTCTAATCTTCATCTGCTTCCAGTGATCGTGCGGCTTTTTATCACTCAAACCGTGTTTTGCTCCGTCACATCTGCCAGTCGTCAGAATTGGGCAAAACAAAGTTGTTTTCATGAAGAAAAGGAATTTTCTACTTGAAGAAAACGGAAACATGCACAGTAAACATGGCGAGAGCAGCAAAGTCCCTAATTCACCGAGAGGTAGAGCTTCCGGGATGTTACTCCCCAGTCACAGAATAGTTAGGAGAAAGGATTCAGAACGGAAGGTAGGAGAAAGAGGAGACAAATGCCATCTTTGTGGAAATTCTCTACCCTCCTGGAAGCTGGATACGCAGTAGTTGACTCCCTTCGGTGATAGTTTAAATGTGAGTTTTCTGGTGTTCGCTGGCTTACCGAGTTAGCAGACTCCTGGGAGGGGAAGTCTTCCCGTTCACAAAGGACTAGTGACTGAGTCAGCCCAGTGCAGATACGGAAGCTGGTAAAACTGCTTATTTTAACTAAGACAGATCGGCTGGTGACCGTCAGCCTCACTTTGGGGCTCATACTGTATCTTAATCCTCCCCAGGAAGAGGTGACCTTCTAGGTCCTGAGCTTGAGGTACCTGGGTGTAGGAGTTCCGTCAGGCTTGCATGACACCCTCTAAAGCAGGGCCAGCAAACGCCAGACAGCCCGATGCAGCCACGCCCATTTGTTTCCATATGGTCTGTTGGTGCTGGGAGCTGCAGGGGCATCGTTGAGTAGGTAGGGCAGAAACTGGACGGTCTGCAAAGCCTAAAATCTTTACTGCCTGGCTCTTTTCAGAAAAGGTTTGCCAACCCCTGCTGTACACTGTCAGGCTTCTGTGGCCGCACCACCGTATTAGGGGTCGAGTTCTCCTTCAGGTGCTGTCCGGGTCCACTGGTCCGATAGCCGTCTGATTCCTCCCGGAACCCCTAGTTGACAGCGTAAACAGATGGGGAGGACTAAATGTGGTGTGCTGGCTGTTCTCCCATAGGGAAAAATCCTCATAGGGATTTTCCTTACATCCCTAAACCCTTCAGTTTTAAAGACAAATTTTGGAATCCTGTCAGTGTTCCAAAACTGAGCAACCTTCTAGATGTCTTTGTGCTTACACACAGGGAGTGGATAGACGGGTCGGGGAAAAGATCGCCCACTTGCTTGGGTCATGGCGTTTGCCTCTAAACTTTGTCACCAGCGCCCTGTTCTGACCCACATGCCACTCGGGCGGGTGCCCAGCCAGCTTCACTTCTTCCTTGTTCACGTTTGCGTCATGGTCTTAATTTGTTTTCTGCCTGGGTGCCGAGAGAAGCTTTGTCCTGTCCTCATCTCAGTATCCTGTATCCATTTCTTCAGGTCTGTGTATATATATATATATATATAGCTTTAATTCTTTCCTAATGCAGGGACACCGTCCTGCGCTCTGTGTTTCATTCTCTTGGCTCATCGAGGACCATTTTTCTTGTGTATTGTCACTTCCTTAACTTTAGTAATTATCTTTTTCTTCTGCCTTCAATGATATTGCCATAAGCATCTTCTCAAGGTCACTAATTTAGGTCTCATCCCTGTTCTGTTCCTGCTACTTCAGACCTTATTTATTAGATCTTCGTGTCTTGGTCCTCAAGTAATTTCCTGGTCTGGATAATACCCATTTTCGTCGGATTCTTTTGATCACTTGTGTATATTTTTTTCCAAGATTTTAGAAAATTGTGGTAAGTGGTACGTTAAGCACGACATAGTTTACCATTTTAACCATTTTTAAGTACACAGTTGAGGACATTCACACTGTTGTGCAACCGTCACCACCATCCATTGCCAGAACTTGTTCACCTTCCCAGACTGAAACTCCATCCCCGTTAAACACGGACTCCTCGTGTGCCCTCCGCCCCCAGCCCCTGGAACCTGCCATTCTGCTTTCTGCCTCTATGAATTTGACTGCTCTAGGGACTTCATATACGCAAAATCATGTAGTGTTTGTCCTTTTGTGACTGGCTTATTTCGCCGAGCACAATGTCCTCCAGGTTCGTCAGTGTTGTCGCAGGTGTCAGAATGTCCTCCCCATTTAAGGTCGAGCAACATGACGTTGTGTGACAGACCACGTTGTGTTTATACATCCATGTGTTGGTGGACACTTGGGTTGCTTCAGCCTTTGGCTATTGTGAATAATGCTGCTGTGAACACGGAGGTACACATATCTTTTGGAGTCCCTGCTCTCAGTTCTCTTGGGCCGTGCACCCAGAAGTGGAATTGCTGGGTTTTTAAATTTTTTGAGGAACCGCTCTCCTGTTTTCCATATGGCTGCGCCATTTTACGCTCCTGCTAGCAGCACACAAGGTTCTGGTTCCTTCTCATGCTCCCCAACGCTTTGCGGTTTTTTTGATAATAGGCGTCCAAGGGGGTATGACAGGGTGGTTTTGATTTGCATTTCCCTAGTGATAATGATGATAAGTGTCTTTTCATGTGTTATTGGCCATGTGTACATCTTCTTTGGAGAAATGTCTATTCCTAGCCCTTTGCCCATTTTTTTAATCTTTTTTTTTTTTAACGTTTGTTTTTGAGAGAGAGAGGGAGCGTGAGCGGGGCAGGGGCAGAGAGCAAGGGAGACAGGATCTGAAGTGGGCTCTACTGACAGCAGAGAGCTCACCACAGGGCTTGAGCTCATGAACCACAGATTATGATCTGAGCTGAAGTTGGATGCTTAACTGACAGAGTCACCCAGCACCCCAAGGTTGTTTGTTTCTCACTGTTGAGATGTAGGAGTTCTTTAAATATTCAGGATATTAATGCCTTATCAGATAAACGATTTGCAAATATTTTCTCCTGTTCTATGAATTGCCTCTTCACTGTTGACAGTGTCTTTGATGTACAAAACTTTTAAAATTTTTATATAGTCCTGCTTTTTTGCTGTTGCTGTTTGTGCTTTTGGTGTCATGTGCAAGAACAAGAAGTCATTGCTAAATCCACTGTCATGACACTTTCCCCCTCTGTTTTCTTCTAAGGATTTTATGCTTTTAGCTCTTAAGGTTGGGTCTTTGATCCATTTTGAGTTAATATTTATGTGTAGTGTTAGGTAAGAGTTCAACTTCATTCTCTTCCATGTGGATATCCGTTTGCCCCAGCACCATTTGTTGAAAAGACTGTTCTTACCCCATGGAATGGTCTTGCCACCCTTTTTGAAAACCATTTGCCCATATAGGCGAGGTCTGTTTCTGGGCTCGCCACTGCATGGGCTGACATGCCCATCTTTATGCCAGTGCCATGCTTTTTTTTGATTACTCTAGCTTTGAAATCAGAAAGAATGAGACCTCCAACTTTGTTCTTTTTCATGATTGTTGTAGCTATTTGCTGTCCCCTCAGATTCTATGTGAATTTTAGGATGGAGTTTTCTATTTATACAAACAAACAAACAAACAAACCCAAATGTCAACTGGATCTTCATAGGGATTGCATTTAAATCTGTACCAGTCACTTTGGTTAGTATTACCCTCTTAAGTCTTCCAATCTACAGACACGGGATGTCTTTCTGTTTATTTGTGTCTTCTTTCATTTCTTTCAATGTTTTATAGTTTTCAGTGTACAAGTCTTTCAGCCCCTTAATGATTAAGTTTTTTAAGGATTTTATTGTTTTTGATGCTATTGTAAATGGAATTGTTTTCTCAGTTTCCTTCTCAGCTTGTTGGCGTATGACATCTAGACCTGAATTTTCAAGTGTGGATTTTGAGTCCTATGGTGGCTGAATTTGTTGGTCCTCATGGGATCTTTAGTGGAATCTTCAGTGTGTTCTACATGTCAGATGAAATCATCTGTGAACAGAGATGGTTTTCCTTCTTCCTTTCTAACTTGGATGCCTTTATTTCTTTTTCTTGCCTAATTGCTCTGGCTAGCACTTCCGGCACTATGGTGAACGCGTAAGCATAGACATGAATACAAAATCTGGCCTTGGACTGCAAAACCTCTAGCCATCGAAGGACACTTAACCTGGCTTTCGTGAAACTCTTGTGCCAGTTGTTTATTACTTGTTTTATCTTCCTTTTTATAGAAAATTAATGAATTAATAAAAAGACCCAACGTGAGCCCCAAAGTGAGGGAACTTTTAGAGCAAATTAGTGGTTTTGACAACGTTCCCAGGAAAAAGGCGAAATTTCAGGTATGGATGGGATATGCCTTCCCTGGATGGAGGGGACGCGTGGCCCAGTGACTGAGCCTGTGGGCACCTGTCAGAACGGGACAAGTCAGGTTTTTTTGTGTGTCTGTTCCTTACAGAACTGGATGAAGAACAGTTTAAAAGTTCATAATGAGTCCATTCTGGAGCAGGTGTGGAGTATCTTTTCTGAAGCTTCTGGCAACGTAAGTCAGATCTAATTTCAGATTTGTAGTGTGGCAAAAATGATTGGTAATAATGAAATGGGAATGTCTTATTTTTGGAGGTCAAGACAGCCTTCTTTTTCAGAGAGCCTCTTTGTGCCTTCATTTATGGGAAAGAATAAACTGAATGCACTGCAGAGAAGATTTCCTTATTGTGCAGAGAAAGGTATTTAATCCCAATGTTTGATAATGGTACTGGCTAACGTGAAATGGCTTGCTTAGAAATCAGGCAGTGGGATGTACTGGAAGGAGGAACTTGGGGCGTCTGACAGACCTGGTTTGAATCCCTGCTGTGCTGTTGGCCAAACGCTTGATCTTGGGCACTTTATTTAACCTCTCTGAGCCTCCGTTTCCCAGTCTTAAAAGAAAAGAAGACTTAAAGAAGTCCAATTCATGCACCGATTTGGGACTTAGTGACTGATCTCGTGCTGGGCCCTGAACAAACACCGTAAAATAGCTCAGGCAGTGACACAGCCAGGAAGAAAAATAAACTGTGAGGACATAGGGAGTGACTAGGGGTTCCTTTAGGCGAGGGGTTCACAGAAGGCCCCATACGTGCATTAAAGCAGCCGAGGCTCTGGAAGCATCCCTCCCCGTGCCCGGGCTTAGTGGGCATCCGACGCGTGTCTGTCTCCTTCCTTCTGTGGAGTGGGAATCCCTCTGGCGTAATCATCCGCCGCCTGTCAGGTTCCATCTGAGGGACCCTTCGGTGTGGAGCACATGCAGAGTCTTGGTCTGGTACCGTGTGGCCTCCTTATAGGTGACGTCATTAATTAAAAACACTTCCCCATTAATTCACCTGCACCTTGCTCCTGTTTGGAGCCTATACCCCATCTGTAGACTGAAATCAGTAGCGGTTTTCAAAAACAACAATGGAGTTTTCCCTTTTTTTTTTTTTTCCCAAGTAGGCTGCACACCCATCGTGGGGCTTGAACCCACGACCCCGAGACCAAGAGTTGTGTGCTCCAACTGAGCCAGCCAGGTGCCCCCGACAGTGGGGTTTTCTGACCATCTTTTATTCTACTCGCCGTGCCAGGAGTTGACTGACTTATAGAGACAACAGTTTGGGCAGCAAATTGGAATAAACGGTGAAACTGTCCTGTTGTGGCTCTTCCAGAACAAACAGATTGGGCCTTTGGAATCTCGTAACCAGTCATGTATGTGCCACCTTTGCTCAGGGGCCCCGCCGATCTTCTCTGTGGTCTTCTAGTACGTGTGCTGCCGGAGCACACCCTGTCACCAGTCGTTTGATTAGCGTTTAGGTGGTACTGTTTTTTAAGGATTATTTTAAGGATTATTTCCATTATTTTAAGTAAGAATCAAAGATTTGGGATTACTTCGTTCACTGCAGAGTTTTTTTTTAAAAAGTTGTTTCTGATTTCCCTTTTGAAGCTGCGAACATATTAAGTCAATGAAGAATCAGTACGCAGCCCCGTGGCCAACTGAGCTCTGTAAAACACGGCTTATTTTTGTTTTGCCTCTGCCCTGTGACCTTCACGGCACAACCCAGTGCGAGTGGCGCAGACGGCTCTGTGGCCCCGTCCGTACACACCTCTGGTGTTCATCCCTCCCGTTACTATGTGCTGGGCATCCAGCCAGAGGCCCTGGATCCTCTGCTCCTGGGGGGGGGGGGGATTTCCTGTGCCCCAGGACAGCGTGCCTGGTCCCCGCGCACACAGCTGTAATGAGGCTAAAGTCCTGCCCTCACAGAGCTGTGTTCCAGTGCGGGACAGATGATGGCATATGCAGGTCCTGGCCCTGATGGCAGGACAAGGCGCGGAAGCCCTAGGAGAAACGGTAGGCGAGAGGAGGGGTCTGTTAGGAAAGATGGTCGGTGCAGGTGTCTCTGAGGAGAGCCTGGAACGAAGCAGAATATGGGGAATGAGTTTGTCTACTCATCACCGAGTAGCTGCCAGATGGGGTGCGTGTGTCCCTCTCCCTGGGTGCGGAGGGGAGGCCCCAGCTGGAGACTTGGTCTGAGCGGGGCAGAAGGCGGGTTGAGGTGTGTGGCTCTCAGTGGTCATAACAGTGCCTTCCCATAAGCTAGGAAGGAAATTGTAGGCTAGGAGTCAGGCGACGTGGGCTGCTTCTTCCTCCTTCCTGACTTTGTTTCTGAGCCCACCGCCTGCCTTTGTGCCATGCGCCTGGCCTGGCTGGTGTCTCTGACCTGCTGGGGAAACGCAGACGCTGTGCTCTCAGCCCGGAGTTGAGCACTGAGTGAGGCGTGACCTTTGTAGAGCGTCTGTACTTGAGCGAAAGCCAGTCCCTGTTTTGGCTCAGTTTGGGGGACGGTAGCTCCCTCCTTGAGACCTACTCTCCCAGATGAAGGAGACTGGAGGTGACTGGTCTGTCACCTGGCTGGTAACTAACGGAGATGGGTCTTGGGCGCTGACATCCAGTGGTTCCCGCCGCACCCGAAGCAGCCCCATCCAGACGCGTTAGGACTCACCAGAAGCTCAGGACATTGCTGGGGTCATCCTTGAGAAGGGGCTGACATAGAGACCGGCACAGATTCAGGGTCAGGGAGTGCAGCCGGCAGTGGCACTCATTTTGCTGGGGTCGTTGTTCTCAGTCGGATCTGTGCACTGGCTTGAATAAGGTAGAGTGCGGCTTGTGGTTCCCTAGCTTTCTGTGGCTCCCTGTGCCCCATGCTTCCCACTCTGCGGGTCCACACTCCATCCAGGTGTCCCACATCCCTTCCTCAAGGGCAGTTCCTCTGTTCTCAGTGAGTAGATTGTGCTGGTCCAGTGCTCCAGAGTTTACAGACCCTTTCCTGGAAGTGGCTTATTTAAGCATCCTCGGTCTACTCGTCCTCAGCACCGTGAGCTGCTAAGCACATGACATAACTTTCCATTTTATTCGCCCATGAACCATATGACTTTCGTTCCACTACCTTTCATTTTATCAGTGAGGAAGTTGGTTCGGAGCAGATAAATAACTTGCCCTGAGTCACCCGGCTCGGAATTAACAGAGCTGGTGCTCGAACCCAGGTCTGCAGATGCATAAATCCAGTGGTTTCCACCACACCAATGTGCTCGTCTTCTATCAGAAAGGTAGAGAGTGAGCCAAAATTAAAGGTCTAGCTTAAGTGACATAAGGATTCTTCACTTTCCCAGTGGAAGGAAAATGTCTATTAAATGCAGGGTGGGGTGTGGGCTCGGGGGGAAGGTTTTTTTCCCATTTGATATGTTTACTGCTACGTTTTAGCTCTTGGCGGGGGAGGCGGTCACAGTAAAATGGTAAGTAGTCGACATTTTTCTTGCGACAGTTTGCTCAGTAGATGCCTGCTAATGACGTGCACGAATGTCTGGAATGAGTATTTATGTGTCTCTCGGTTTTGCTTAATAATAAGGAACCGGTCAGTAAGGGGCAGGACCGACAGCCACTCAAGCAAGGGGCCAACCCGCCCGGCGTAGAACTTTCCACAAAGGTTCCAGCTTCCCACACAAGTGACCCCCCAGAAAAGCAAGCAGAGGTGAAGAAGAATAAAAGAGAAAGGAAGGAAGAAAGGCAGAAGAATAGAAAAAAAGAGAAGAAAGAACTAAAATTAGAAGGCCACCAGGAGAATTCAAGGGGTCAGAAGCCTAAGAAGCGCAAAGAGCAAGAGGCCGATCAGGAGGCTGGAGGGGAGGCCCCGGGCTCTGCAGGGAAGAAGAGCCAGAGCAAGGGGGGCAAGGCCAGGGGGGCGGTGGACGGAGCCAGAGACGCCAAGGAGGAGCCGACGAAGCCGCCGCCCGGGAAGAGAAAGAAGCACGCGGACGGTACGTGGCTGGCGTTTGCTCTGGGCTCCGGTACGAGGGTCGGGAAGCAGTGAATTTGCGTCAGACCTCGCGTTTGGAACAAGTAAGGCAAAGAGCGTAAGCTTTGGGATCGGGCCGACCCGGGCTCAGGTGACGGCACCCGTCCACTCGCCGTGTGCTCACCTGACCCCGAGGTGGAGAAGCCCGCGGTGCTGGGTGCCCGGGGAGCGGGTCCTCCTGGCGGATGCACCGGGCCTGGCCGTGCGTGGCGTTCATTAAATGGCAGCCGCTGTCATAAATGCAAAATCTGGTTCTCGCGTTTACTCTTCTACTTTCCTAGATGAAGCAGATACCAAGAAGAAAAAGAGGAAGCTCTCAGGACATTCTGAGGGTGGAGAACCGGAAAACCATGGGGCTCCTGCAAAAGGTATCGCCGCCATCCTTTGGAGAGGTCTGCCCTTGAGGGTGTGGGGGGAGGAGGCGACCCGGGGCCTTCAGGCGGATCCTCCCCTCCGGAGGCACGGGGAGGGCTGGACGCAGATGCAGACACGGCGTGGCTCCAGAGGGGAGAAAGGAGCCGTGTGAGCCACTCCGCAGAGTCTGTCTAGCTCTAAGGGGAAGATGGTCTGGACTGGGAACCCATTCTCTTTGGAACTGCAGATAAACCCAGCACGGCTTTCTGAGACCTTGCTCCCTTTCCCTGCTTCCCTCCCCCCTGCCCCTCATTACTCTCCCGGAAGTACCCGCCACACTTAGCTGCCCCGCCCCCCACCTCCTCTTGTTCCCGGGGTCTGTGTCTCCCTGTCTCCCAGTGTGTCCCTGTCAGAATCCAATTCCTGGCCTTTAAAGGTCCCCTCAGACGCTGCCTCCTCCACTTCCTCCGGCCTGAAGCATTCCCTGGGGCCCTGCTGATGCACAACAGACTCGAGGACTCACCCGGGAGGGGAGGCTTTACTAATGGGGGTTCAGTAACTGCCTGAGCTGGGTTACACCTCTTTGCCTGGATCCCCCCACTCCCAAATTGGGCTGCATGAGGCCTTTTTTTTTTTTAGTTTAATTTGTTTTGAGAGGATAGTAGATTCACATGCAGTTGTAAGAAATTATAATAGAGACCTAAGGATCCACGCGCCCTTTGCCCAGCTTCCTGCTAGGGCCACAGCGGGCACAACTATCCTGTCTCCACAGGGTGCTGACACTGACCCAGTCAGGACACCGACGTTTCCATCACCACAGGGAGCCCTCTGTGGGCCCTTTTATAGCCATGCCCTTACCCGCCACCCTGCCTGCCCCCAACAATCACTAATCCGTTCACCGTTTCTGTACTTCTCTGGTTTCAGAACGTTACCTAAATGGCATCATCTAGTATGTGAATTCTTGAGATTACCACTTTTCCCTCAGCATTATTCTCTGGAGATGCATCCAGGTGGCTGCATGTGTTGGTAATCCAGTCCCTCTGCTGTTCAGTAGCCCGTGGCGTGGACGTACTGACCACTCCTCTCTTGAAGGCCCAGCCTTCACTTGCCATAAATAAGCTGCTGTCAGCATTTACGTACAGGTTTTCATGTGAACGCACATCACTTTGTGGAAGAAATGTCCAGGAGTGCAGTCGCCGTGTGGTGTGGTGACTGCGTGTTTGGTTTTTTTTTTGTTTTTTTTTTTTTTAAATTTTTTTTTTTAACGTTTATTTATTTTTGAGAAAGAGACAGAGCATGAATGGGGGAGGGTCAGAGAGAGAGGGAGACACAGAATCCGAAACAGGCTCCAGGCTCTGAGCTGTCAGCACAGAGCCCGACGCGGGGCTTGAACTCACGGACCGCGAGATCATGACCTGAGCCGAAGTCGGCTGCCTAACCGACTGAGCCACCCAGGCGCCCCTGCGTGTTTGGTTTTAAAGAAACTGCCAACTTTTTCTAGAGTGGCCGTACCGTTTTATAATCGCCCCAGCGGTGTGTGCCTCACCCAGTTTTCCCACATCTCGGCCAGGGTCTGGTGGTGGTACTTTGTTGTTGTTGTCGTTGTTGTTTTTGTTAGCTATCCTGATAGGCGTGTGGTAATAGCTCGGGTGATTTTAATTTGTTTATCCCTAATGATGTTGAGTATCTTTTCATGTATTATTCACCATCTGTATATCTCTTGATATTGAAACGTCTGTTCACGTCTTTTGCTTATTTTCGAATTGGATTTTCTTTTTTACTGTTAACTTTGGAGAGTTCTTTATGTATCCTATTCTAAATACTAATCTTTTGTGGGATGTGGGGTTTGCAAGGTTTTTTTTCCCCTTCAGTCTATAGCTTTTTTATCCTCTTGACAATCTTTTATAGAACAGATTTTTTTCATTTTGATTTAATTTGTCCATTTTCCCTTTAATAGGTCATGCTTTTGGTGCCAAATCTGGGAACTCTTTGCTTAACCCTAGATCCCCAAGAGTTTTTTTCCTGTGTCTTTTTTCTAAATGTTTTACAGTTTAACATTTTACTCTTGATCTTAAGCCCGTGATCCATTTTGAGTTGATTTTTATGTAACAAATGAGACTTAGTACAAGGTTCATTTTTTTGCCCATCAGTGTGCTATTCCGGCACCGTTTGCTGAGAAGGCCCTCACTGAATCACTTTTGTACCTTTGTCAGAAATCAGTTGTGCATATTTGTGTAGTTCTGGGTTCTTGATTCTGTTTCGTCTGCCTGTATGTGTGCCCCCTACCAACACAGTCTCGGTCGCTTTAACTCTATCTGAAGTCTTGAAACTGGGCAGGCTTTATTCTTTGTCAGAATTAAGTTTTAGAATAATCTTGTTGAGATCTACAAAAACTCTTCCTGTGATTATATAGAATATGTGTGATTTTGTAGATTTCCTTGGGATTTTCTGCAGAGGTAATCACGTCATCTTCAAACAGGGGCAGTTTCACTTCTTCCTCTCGGATCCATAGCACTCTGCTCTTTCCTTGCCTTGTCTTCTTGCATTGGCAAGAATTTCCATCACAGTGTTGAGTAAAAGTGGTGAGAGCAGACAGCCTTGCTCTGTGCCAGATCGAAAGAAACATTACATCTTTCACTTTAAGTCACATTAATTGTAGGTTTTTGCTGGATGCTCTTTATCTAAAGTTGAAGGAGTTCCCCCGTATCCCTATTTTTCTAAGAGTTTTTATCACGAATGTGTTGAGTTTTGTCACACACGTTTTCTACATTGATTGATGTTACTGTTTTTTTCATTAGCAATTAATGTGAATTGCACTGATTGATTTTTAAATATCGAACCAGCCTTTCATCCCCAGAATAAACCCACTTTCTTGTGGTGTATAATTTTGTTATGTGTTACCTAACTGCTAGATTCTACTTACTAATATTTTGGTAGGTATATTGACATCTGTATTCATGAGGGATACTGGTCTGTAGTTTTCTTAATGCTCTTTTTTTTTTTTTTTCTTCTGGTTTTCTCTTGCTCAGACTGTGTAATTTCTATTGTTTTATCTTCCAGTTGACTGATTCTTTCCTCTCCCCTCTCCGTTCTGTCCGTCCACTGAGCTTTTCAGTTCAGCTACCATATTTTTCAGTGCTAAAATTTCCTTTTGGTTCTTTGTCTTTTTTTTTTTTTTTTTTTTTTTTTTTTTTTTTTTTTTTTTTTTTTTTTTTGGCTGAGTGTTTCTACTCTTGTTCCGAGTGTACACATAATTGCTTACTGAAGTACTTTTATTTTGGAATGATGAATGGTTTTCAGTTGGCACCTGGACATTTTCACAGGTTAGAAGATTCTGGGTCTTATTTCAACTTCTTTTAACTGGCTTTTCCTCATGTGACTTGGCAGGGGAAGCGGGGGCAAGACCTCACTACAGCAGGTGGGGGGAAGACCAGGCTGCCCACCCGACCTCCGCTGGTACCTGAAGGAGGCACTCCTTGCTAGTGCAGGCGGGGTGGGAGTTCTGGCTCCCCCCGTGGTCACCGCTGACCGCGGCCACGGCCTTGTTACCAGCCGGCATGGATGAAAGTCCCGATTTCGTACTCGGCCTTCTTTGACGCCTTCCCTCATCACAGCCTTGAGGGTGGGAGCCACGAACTTCTTCTGAGGTGTTTAGCTGGAAGAGAGTGGGGACTGTGGAGGAGTTGTGTCTCGGTGGGCTGTTCCTCTCTTGGCCTTTCGCTGAAGAGGATCACGCTCTTGTCGGGGCTTTCTTTGTTGGCTTTCCAGGTTGCCAGCTTCTTGAGCTCCAAATCTGGGATCTCTGGAGCAAAAAGAAAACACAGGGAGCTCACTACCAGGTCACTCCTCGAGTCTCGAGGCCCCTACCCGGTCCGCCTTCTTGCCCTCTTTCAGTCTTGCGTTTGTCTGACTAGACTTCCGGGGGTTTGGCTGTTCTCAGCAGACAGAACAGGCAAAAGTACACCTGCTGCATCTTTCCGGAAACAAGTCCCCTAGATGAGCCTTGAGCCTGCAAGATAGCCGGTGTCACAGCCCGTGTCTGTGGCTGTCCTCTGCCGTCCGAGGCTGAGCTGCCTTTGTTCCCCTATGTCTTGCTCACCATGCTTGGCCAGCCCTGTGATCTTGGCGGACCCTCAGGGACACTTGTGAGTTCATCGGATACAGCCGTGCCTTTTTACAGGCACCTGTAAAGTTGATGCCTACTTGACCCGCTCACTCTGAGAGCGAGTCCTGAAGGGGAGTCAGGCTTGTAGGCCACTGCGAGCGGACAGGTCCAGCACCTGCTACGCGGTACGGTCAGGGTCATTAGTTCATTTCCCGGATAGCAAATAGATGTCGCCCCCATGGCTGCTTTATCCCTCTGGCAGTACACCGAAACAAAATGTTTTACGTATTACTCTTCATATTGTAGGTAAATTCAACTGGAAGGGAACTATTAAAGCAGTTCTGAAACAGGCCCCGGACAACGAAGTAGCAATCAAAAAGCTAAGGAAAAAGGTATGGCGCACAGACGCAGGTGCAGAAGCTGGGGACAGCCACTTCTTTATTTCAGGATGTACAGTTCTTGGTTTTCCTAATCTAAAACACTACAGATGTGGATCTCAGTGATTTTTCCAGCAGCTCAGTGGCCCCTCGGGACTGGCGGGGGGCGGGAATTGGACCCCATCCCATCGCACTTCCTTAGCCTGAACGGTGCCTGTGTTAAATTTGGGAATTATTATTCTTTTTTTTTAATTTTTTTTTTTTTTTAACGCTTATTTTTAT